CGTGGACACCAACTCCCTAGGATTCAGAGGGATCCCTGGCCATCTCCCTCTTGCTAAGAGGATGTCTCTTACAGTATTGCTCAGAGACCTACTATTTTAGGACATGTATAAAATGTTCTTCTGAATTTTTCTCATTTCTTCTTTTTTAACTAAAGGGACCTTAACTACTTAAGTCTTTTTTAATTCAAAAGTCAAGTAGTCATTATGACTACATAGCCAAGTTGATTTGTGGTTCCAATTTTGTCTAATTTGTAACCCATTTTTAAGACTAGTAAAACACTATTTGTAATTTGCTGCCATTTCTTTTAAAGTTCCAGATGTTTCTTAGCCTGTATATTTGTCAGATCCCTAAACTGAGGAATTATCGGTTATGGAAGCTACACTGAAATATTCATCTTGACACCATAAAACATTTGTGTGCTTAAAACTCAATACTTCAACAGTACTGGAGAGCCTTTTCCAAATGCCTTTGTCTCCTCTCAGGCTGTCTGTTCCCAGAAGACTGATGACAGCAGGTGCGGTCCCTTCCTCTCCCCTCCCTGCCCATTGGTTCTGCTCTCCATCACCACAAACCCAAGATCGGCAGGGAAAGTTCAAACCGTTCTTTAGCAACAGGTAATGAATCACTTATTTCGCACAGAGACAGGAAGGACTGTCTGTAAAATCTCTCTGGAGGTCGGCCAGTAGTATTAAAGTCACTTTCTGTCTGGAGAATAGCCACACTTCCTTCACGTTGAAGATGTAAATATGGGGAACTCATCAAACTCATTTTAAATAGAGACTTTGTCACCTTAAAACATTTAAGTGGTTGGATCAGAAGTTCCAAAGTCCATACTTCAAGCAACGTAAAGTTTACAAGATGCTGTCTATAATTTAAGAAACTGAGTTCCATAGCAAACAAACATATCTGTCATGCCTAAAGATTAGGCTTTGAATGAGAAAATGGTGCTATTTATTTTGAAAGGAAATTAAGACCTTGTTCCCTGTGACAGAAAAATATAGATGCAGATTACTTATATTAAATTACATATTACCGATCTGAGGTAGTCAATTAATGATGAATGTATTCCAAAGAGAAGTACTATGCAAAACTCTGAATTGTGGGGCTCCATGTGACTAATTGCTCTCTCTTATCTCTGCCTTGAGTAAGCACCCACAGCCCACGAGAATAGCACGTCCACCATAATTTTGGGGCTTGGGAGCATTTTTGCAAACAATTACTGCCTTAATTCTTGAACTATGGTGCTCAAAAAATAGTCACCAGTTAAATCAACAAATCCTTAATCAATTAGCATAGAGACTTGGATGAACCTTCTTTATTGAACAAAAATATGTCCTGCTATTTCCTGCTATTCCAGCATTATTTTTAAAAAAATAGACCCTGGTTAAATGTCGTCAAGTTCAAGCTGTTGGGGGAAAAAGGGGAAAGTTTCATGAAAAACTGACTTTAAAAGAAATGTAAATTGCCAGACTAAAGGAAACAGCGTGATTGGTAGATCCTGGGAAGCTCCACAGCAGGGATAGTAACTCAAAAACTATTAAATAAAGGACAGGCCACACTTCCACAATATCTGGCTTATATTCTCTTTGTGTTTTTTTTTTTAAGATTTTATTTATTTATTTGACAGAGATCACAAGTAGACAGAGAAGCAGGCAGAGAAAGAGAGGGAAGCAGGCTCCCCGCTGAGCAGAGAACCCGATGTGGGACTCGATCCCAGAACCCTGAGATCATGACCTGAGCTGAAGGCAGCGGCTTAACCCACTGAGCCACCCAGGCGCCCTCTCTTTGTGTTTAACTGTTGAATTTTAAATAAATTCTGAGTTATTTTCAGTATTTTAATGTTGGCTAATATTTGTTGAAAGAAAATTAGCCTTTGGTTTTGGGACAGAGTCATGAAAGCTGTACCACATTCTTGAATACGACTACATTACATTCAGTTACAGCTCTGTTCAGAAACACATTTTTGGTCTTAAAACAAAAATCAACAATGAGAAAAAATACAGCTCAGCATTGCTACAGCATTGTTACAGCAAACTTGGCTGAAACACCTCTTGGTAATTCATTTAGTGAGGAGTATTATGTATACTTATATAGGTGCTAGCTGCTTTTGTAAGGCAGCAAAGATGCCCTTTGTTCTTAATCCAGTGCTATCTTGTTAGAAAACCAGTCCTATTCATTCCTTCACTCTGGCAAGTAAAATTGGCAGAGGACTGTAAAATTGTCAAAGAAACATATCACTTAACCATTCCAGATCATTCAAATAACTTTTCCACAAAACATCCAAAATCGCTGTTAGAACAGACTCAAATTTTCTATTCCACAACCATGCATTTTATTCCTAAACAGCAAAAGACACCAAAATGAGAAAGGCTGCAGACTTGATTTGTTTTGTGTCAATAAGGTCAGCATACCTTGTATCTAAATTTTCATTTGCACTGTGTGAAGTGCAGAGACTGAAGTACCATTGTCCCTGAAGATGATATAACATTTGAGGACAAAATAATAATAGTAGTAATAATTACTATTATAATTTTAGTAACTTCATTATTACTATGTATACACAGACACATGGATGTGTGTGTATATATCATCTTTATTTTTCCCCTAACCCTTTGACTAAGGCCTTCGATTTTTTTTTTTTTAAACTATGGTATTATCAGTACTTTAACAAAAAATTCTCTTTGGAAAACGGTTCAACTTCTTTCTTTTGTTAAGCAACCATGTACGCGTTTCATGTTCTGCCTTGCCCCATCCTCACGGTCCCAGGGCCAGGTCCACGGTCCCAGACGCCGCTTTCCTTCCAGAGAACACTGCTCAGAATGCCACACTTGTCTGGGCGGCCATCAGATCCCAATCCCGGACTCCCTGGGCGTGTACCAGCCTAAGCCTGCCTTCAAATCGGAACACCGAAGGTTCCACCCATCACAGTGGCGGAAAGGTAGGCCGGCGATCCCCCAAAGATCAGGTCTCCATGGCCACACCCCCACCTCGAGGGGAGGAGGTCCCAGAAACGCAAGGCCCCGGGAGGGCCGGGAGCGCGCAGGGACCGCGCCGGCCCGACAGAAAACGGCAAGCCCGGGGCGGCCCCGGCCAGGTGGCGGCAGGACCCAGCGATCTGCCGACTGGGGCTGGCCCGCAGCTGGGGGCTCTCCCCCACCACCCCCCACTAGGTCCCCACCCCCAGCTTCGCCCCCGGCCCGCAGCCGGCCGGTCGGCGCACGCGCGTCGGTGCGCCCAGCCCCGGCGCCCTCCTGGGCGACGCTGTCGGGCCGGGACAACGCGGGCGGAGTGCGCGTCCCGGGTGGGGGGCGAGAGGGACGCCTCGGGTCTACGCGAGAGAGGCGCGAGTGGGCGAGCACGGACGGGACGGACCTCCCGGGGACACCTGGACTCCATCTTCTTTCCTCCAGACTGTGGGGCCGGCCACGGGGCGGGGTTTCTCCTGGCGGGGGTGAGCGAGACCGTTAGGCTGGAACACCGGGAGACGGTCCTGGCAGCTCCGGGCCGCCACCCGCGCCGCAATAAAAGCCTCTCGCGGCTTCCCGCCCAGCCAGCCTCGCTCTGATTGGTCGCCATGGGAGAGGGACCCGACTTGGCTGGAGGCGGCGGCCGGGGCTGCTCCCTTGCCGCCCGGGGAGGGCACGCCCCGCGCGCTCCCCCACCCGGAATGGGCCGTCTAGGGCAGCACCCGCGGCGGCACCTGGCAGCGGCAGTCGCGACACACAGGCCCCTCCGCCCGGCTTTCCCCGGGCGCTTCCCAGCACACGCCCCCTGCCCGGAATGTACGCCCATCCCACCCAGCTCTCTGCGGCCCCTGCTCCTTTTCTTACCCCCTTCCCGACCGTCCACGCCAGAGCGCAAATCCCTGGGTGGGGTGGGGAGAGCAGCTGGAGGGGAGGGTGGGCACGCACTGAAAAATCTTCAGGGAGGCCGGGATAGAAATACACCAAATGAAATGAACCTCCGGAACGCCGAGGTTTTCTGGGCGGCGGCGGCGCAGCCCCCGCCACCCGCGGCAGCATCCCTCGGCTGTCTTCCCCTCGGTTCCCTATTGTTCGCACTTTGCAAGGATCAGGAACCTCGCCCAAAGAAAGGAGGCTAGGGCGAGGTGTTGCGGGCGGCTACCTGCCATTCTTCTCGCGCACCGTGCAACACGGGGCTCGCGGTGCGTGTGAAGGCACACGCGCGCACACACACGCGCACACACACCAGGCAGCCCGATCACGCCCTCCTCGCCCTCCGCCCCTCCGCCCCTCCGCACTTCCTCCTGTCAAAACGCGGCGCTCGGCCCTCCCATCCCTCCGTGCTCCCGGCCGAGAGCAGGCTTTGCAAGTAACCAGCAATTTGGCAAATGAAAAACTAACGTCATATCGACGGGGGTGCAACAACGGCCACACAGCCCTGAGATTCTGCCCATTTCGCCCCATTTTGCAAACCGTTATTCAGTCAGGGCGGGGATGGGGGGCTGGGCGCGAAGGCGGCGAGCCCCACTTTATTAGACCCGGGGAAATAACGATGGGGCGGCTGCCCCGGCCTTATTGTTCACTCGTCGCGGAGCCGGGGCTGACAAGCCCCTTCCCCGCGAAACCCAAGCTCGCGCGGCGGCACCGCGGAGCCGCGGCACCCCCGCCCCGCCGCCCGCTTCGGGGAAGGAGCGCTGCCCAGCACCCGCGCGGCCGTAGCGCTCTCGGGACCGACCCCGGGAGCAGGAGACTCCGCTCCCCGCGCCGCCGGCACACAAAGTGGGAAGGGCGGGCGCGCAGGAGGCGCGGCGGGCGCTCGCGGCGCTCGGAGGCAGCCCCGGTCCGGCGCAGCCTGGGAGAGCGCGGGGTTCCGCGGGGCAGCAAGGGCGACGCGCTCCTTCCTCAGCTCAACGACAACGACCACCCTTAGCGTTCCACGTAAAGCCACCCCAGATAGCAGTGTCCTCGGGGGAGAAGGAGGGGGAAGGGGGCAATCAGTACATCAGTCTGAGAATAATCATAATTTCAAAATGTACCTGCAGTTCCCAGGAAAAACAAAGTCCAGATGAGATCCTTAGTTTGCAGCATTGTAATCTGCTGGCTGGGAGGGATGTTCTTGCCGCGGTAAATTCTGTGCCCCCCCCCCTTGCAGAGTGTGGACGGCAGCAGAGCAACAGACCTAGGGGCAGACAATTGCCAGGCTGAGTATGATTATTTTTGCAGAATTGTTTCCTGCCAGCGGCTGCCGAGCTGCGTTCACGCGCTGATCGGAGAATGAGTGACAGTCCCAGCCTCAGCACACTCGCAACTCGGAGATCCTTGCGCTGGCCCGTGTTCGCTTTGATGGAACTGGGGATGGGAGCGAGGGGCGGGGGGCGGGGGTGAGAACCTCACTGTGTCCTTCCACCACGCCGGCCACAAATAGTGCCGAACATCAAGGAGGTAAGAGAGACAGGGGAGGCAGATGCGGCCGCCTGCAAAACGCGGCCTGGAGCCGCCGGAGGAGTCGGGCTCTTTCACACGCAGCCTTCCAGGCAGAGCTGGGATTTCTTCTTTTCACACTTCTCCCCCACGCCTCCGTGGCCCCTCCTGCCATCCAGCCTTCCTTAATCGGGAAGGCGGATATTTTAATAACTAGTAAATAAAAGAAACAAAATCTTAGGTTTGGTTAGGTTTTCAAAGTTGTCGAATCTCCATTTAGATCTTAAGATCCTTGAAACACAAGTATAGCCTAGGATATTTCTTTTTTTTTTTTAATGCAGGAAATTAAAAATTTGGAGAGGAATGGAGACGGATTGCTGTTGCAGGGTTCTGCTTTGTTTTTGTTTTTGTTTGTTTGTTTGTAACTGGTTATGAAGTTTACTCTCCCACAGAGTGGCAACAGATCTCAGGAGAAGGAGGTGGGAAGCTACTTAAGTTCGAAGAAAACGCAGATGTTTAGAAGGGATTTCCAGAAACAACCAAAGAAAATGTTTCCTTGTTTATGAATGCTAAAATCTGTGATCCCTTTATGAAGATCACTGAGCCTTTTACGTAGGTCTTTATAGGCAAAATATTAGATAATAATTTTTTTTAATGGCACATAACCTCAGTTCTTAAAGATATTAATGTAGGATGTCCCTGAGGTACACACAAAGGCTTTCAGTAAATCTTACAGCTGTATTTTTTACAGAAGAGAGTAGGAGAGCCGAGGGAGGGGGCGGGGGGCGGGGAGACATGTCTCAGCACCTGAGCAAGGCTTGAGTGTTTAAGGAACAAATGCTGAGGAAGAATCAGGAGCACCAAATGTTCTAGATGCTGGAAGAGCCTATTAGCCCAGCGCAGTGACACCTTCCCAGAGGAAGTCTGCCACATTCAAAGCACCAATACACCAGTATCACCAAGTAAGTACTCCCTTTTTCTTTAAAGGTCAGACTCTCCACTGCTGTATTACTCTTTAAAAATCCATCCTCTGCTGGCCAGACAGCCAGCCTCCATTACTAGAGAGGCTGGTATCTCCTCCCTGTCTCCTCCCGTGTGTTAGACCAAGAGGGCCATACCTACTCGCTGTGCCCTCTGGGGCCCTGAAAAATATTCTCTCTCCCAAATCAATCTTCCCAATGTTATTTTTAAAATATTTATTTCATACCAACTATAAGTGATTCAAAAATACAGAAAAGTAGAAATAAGGAACTAAAAACACCCCCAAATCCCAGATTCCACAGATATCCATGGATTTTCTGTCTTTTCTATATGCATATGATTTTTAGAGTTGACATATAGTAGCAATTGGAATCTTCTTTATTTCCTCTAACATTTCATTATAAGCATTTTCCTAGGATGTTAAAAGGGCTTTCTGAATTTTTTATAGCTGTGTAATATTTCTAGGTGTTAATGGTTCCTCAGTGGTTTCTCCCTTGTTGGGTATTTAAATGGTTTCCAGAGTTTGATTGTATAAATAATGCTTTTTGAACATCTTTCAATAAATATTTATTGAAAAACCACTGTTTTTAGCCCTGTGCTGGATATAGTGGACTATATAGATTTCTTTAATGGTGGCTGCATTTAAGCATCTTTACCTTCAGATATGAGCTTCTACTAACATGTAAAATTACTTCTGTAACATATAACATTAAGTCCAATGTATTAGACTCTTTCCTAAAAAAGAGGTTTGGGTAGTAGGGAAAGATGGAGAGAACAAGCCTGAGGAGAAAAAGGAAAAAAGTGAAGGCTGGGATAACCCAAAATAAAATTTTCCTAATTCTAATTTTACCAAAATTCTAATTTTACCAAGAGTGAGAGACACACCCTTCTCAGCAAACCTCCCTTCTTATAGCCCATGTCAGTAGAATGAAAAGATTCCTCACTATTTTTTCTCCCCAAATGTCCCTATTTTTAGCTTTTAAACGTAGGCAGGTGTAGAAATCCTATCTGACTTCAGCATGATTTTCTTTCTTTCTTTTTTTTTTCCTCTCTCTCTCTCTCCAGCCCCTCCCTGCCATGTGGCTGTTGATCTCTGTTGTAATGACTCATTCTAGAATTCTACCCCACAGTCCACACTGCATGTGTCTCTCCTGTGTTCTTTTAACAGGATCCATCACTTGTCTCCAGTTCGTCCTCTTTCCACCCGTCAGTGCCTACCTCTGTGAGCTCTGCGTGTCAGTTCCTCCCTGAACCTCACTTTGAAATGGGACAAATTGTGGACCTCCCCTGACGTCTTTTCCCAGAGGGAGTCCCAGGTGTCCCAGACTGTCAGACACGCAGTAATAAGCATCCATCGTGTGAACACCCAGCAGGGGAAGCCGAGGAAGGAGCCACTGGGGACTGTGCTTTAGAGAGCCACTTGCATGGTAAAGCAGAAAATGGGCTACAGCGGCAGGCCAATAAGGGGTGACAGATCCTAATCTAAGTAGTGTGGTGGGAAAGAAAGGGGAAAGAAAGCCCAACACGAGCGCAGATTTGAGAAACATTTCTAAGGCAAAAATAGCAGAACTAAAGAACTTTCTGGAGGTTGGGTTCTGAGGCAGAGGAAGATGTCAAAGTTCTTTCATTCATTCAACAAATACTATCAGCTAAGTGCCTGCATCGCTGTAGACACGGGATAGAGCAGTGGGCAAAACAGAATGTTCACCTCCGTTCTTCCATTCTTTTTTTCTTTTTTTTTTTTTTAAAGATTTTATTTATTTATTTGACAGAGAGAGATCACAAGCAGGCAGAGAGGCAGGCAGAGAGAGAGGAGGAAGCAGGCTCCAGAGCCTGATGCGGGGCTCGATCCCAGGACACCGAGATCACGACCCGAGCCGAAGGCAGCGGCCCAACCCACTGAGCCACCCAGGCGCCCCCCCGTTCTTCCATTCTTATGGGAAAGATAGAAACAGACGGATAAACAGCTAGCATGCTTGTGATGATATGTGCTAAAGGGAAGACACAAGCTGAGGAGTAGTGCAAGTGCAGTCAGAGAGAAAGAGAACTGAAAAAAATAAGATGACTATTTAGAAGTTCCCTGGATTTGACTCTTGGAAAGTCATCAGCAGTCTCTGAGAGAGCCCCATGGAATCGTGGGAAGGAGGACGTGACTGTCCCAGGAAGATAGGGTGGCCTGTCCAGGAAGGAGAAGCAGGGAGTATAGACACTCATCTGAGGAGTGGTGTGATAATGGGACAAGGACAGGAAGGCAGGCTTGTGGGGGAAGGAGGCTTGGAAGAAGATTTTCTTTTCTTCTCTTTCAGTATGAGGATTTTCGTGTTAGGTGATAAAGTACATGACATGCTTTGCTAACCCCCTCTCACTACCAGCACAACTTTGGGGTTTAGACTATTTGAAAGATGAAGTAGGTCTACAGCAAAGTGCTCCCCCTATGTTCTTCCCCATGTAGGGTTTCTTCCCTGTTGGTGATGAGAAGGAGACCCCAAACGTGATCGCAGGGCCCACAGATATCCCAGGAGCTGTATCTCTCATTTGGCACAGGCAAAATGCATTCTGGGAAAAAAATTCTGCCCCCAAATCACTTCATCATACATGCAAGAGCATACTTATGGGCTCTCCAGTCTATTCCATTGGTCTATAGTGTGTCTTTATGCCGATATCACACTGTTTTGATTATCATAGCTTTGCAGTAAGTTTTTAAATCAGGAAATGTGAGACCACCAACTTTATTCTTCTTTTTCAAGATTATTTTAGCTACTCAGGATCCCTTGAGAATCCATATGAATTTTAGGAATGACTTTTCCTATTTCTACAATAAGAAGATCATTGGCATTTGGGTAGAAACTGAGGGGTGCCATTTTCTAATACGCCCAGAGTTGTTCTTTGGGCTAGAGTTGGAGCCAAGCAGACATCTTGGAGGTAAATATGCTTTAGGCATCTCGCTCCGCAGCTGTGGGACACTGAGTCACAAGGAACCATCTATTACAGAGTGCCCATTTGGGTGAGCAGTTTCTTTCAATGGACACAGAGAGAAATGAAGCAGAATCCAAACACAAGAAGCAGGCTGGGGAATGTGTGGTCAGCTTAGAGGACTTACATGGAGCTAGAAAAGGCAAGATGGGTTTAAATGGTTTCTTGGCTCCAAACTGAACTCCCTTTTGTGGATTTAAAAGAAAAAGAAAAATCTACTAAACAGGTGATTTAGCAAAGATTGGAGAAAGGAGCCAAGATCGCTATGTCGGGATCTTCTAAATCAGAGTATGACTGAGCTGATGTTGGAGACCTAATAACTTCCTTTCTCCCTCTTATACAACCCACACACCCCAGTGGCGATGAAGTGAGGGGAGTGAGCTCTCAGGTCCTGCACTTGGACATTCCAAGTTCAAATCCTAGCTTCTTCACCTATAGATAGGCTCTGTGGATTTGGGCAAATTATTTCACACCTGTAACCCTTGTTTTTCTTGTTCATAAAATGGGACTAGAGCAGCATCTATCTTTCAGACTTCTTGAGAACACTAATTACAATAACGTACATAGAGGGCTTAGTGCAGGCCTGACACTCTTTCATTCAACGTATATTGAGCACTGATCACATGTACTGTGTTAGCGGTAGGGGATTAAAGAAAAGGTGAACAGAACAACCTTGCTTACAAGGCTTATAAAGAAGACAATTAACCAGAGAGATGAACACCATTCTGAACTGTAATTAGATACATGAAAGAAATAAACAGGATTCTTTGGTAAAGAATGACAGCAGAGATCTACTTTAGATGAAGGAAGGCTTCCCTAAGGATAGGTGACAGGTAAGTTGCCACCTAAAGCATGAGAAGTACCCAAGGCGTGGGAAGAACAGGTGGAGGTGCATTCCAGGAATGTGCAAAGACCCTGAGGT